CTATGGCTGCCGATGCAGGGTGGGGCCGGGGGCCCAGAGTGACCTTGAAATAATAGGGAAACCTCTCAAGTGGAGAAGTGGGGAGACAGCACCCCAGGAGAGGGGCCTGCATTGGACATAGCCGCCCAGGGCAGATCCAGGAGCTGCCTGAATCTGCAGATGTTTGGGAAGGGGCCCACCCAGCTGTGGCCTCCTGGGAGAGAAGGCCCAGATGCTGGGTGCGATTCTGTGGGCCGACTCTCTCTCAGTCCAAATCCTATTACCAACTAATTCCCCTCCCCCTTAAAAAAAACTGCCAATAAATTGGTTTGCCTTTTACACTCGGCTTACTCTGAGCAAAATAATGTCCATGAAATTATAAGTTTGATGTGAAAACCAGCTATTTCTACGTTTTGTGCACTCGCATTTAAACGAATGCAGACCCGTGGGATATTCTAGAACGTGATGGTCTGCACGGAGCCCCACCGTGAGTCCACCGACAAAACCTTTTACAGGCAAGAGCGCCAAGCAGGGGTCAAGCGTGTGTTTGCAAGGAGTCAAGAAAGGCAGGGGAGTCTGATCCTGGTTTCCTCCGACGCTCTCTGTGGAATAACGAGTCCAGCTCGTGGTTAAGGAACCTCACCTGCAGCCTCGCCCCAGCCCTGGGCTCCTGGTTGGTGACAGGCGCTGTTCGCACCTGCTGGGGGGGCAGGTGGGTCTGCGGGGCGCCGGGCACACACTGCCTTCTGCAGGCAACGTGGAGCATTGCGTCACTGGAGAGGGGTCTGGCTGGTCTGGCAGATGTAAATTTGCATTCGATTCTCATCTTGCCTCGCCGGAGACGGCAGTGGAAGCAATAATGATGGTCCCTTGGGCTGTTCGTATCCTCTTTGAAGAGGTAATGCATTCACACGATTCCAAATTCAAAGGTACAAAAGAGCCTTGTGTAAAAATCAAGTTTTCCACTCTCCCCCAACCAAAGCCCCCCTCTGCGGTTCTCCTCCCTCGAGGCGTCCACCCAGCTAATTTCTTATGTGTCTTTCCCCGACTCTTTTTCAAACAGTTCAAAAAACAGAAAAATCGCTTGTCCACCAAAATAAAGTCACCTAGACAGAGGAACAAGTTTAATACTGACTTTATCCATTCCTAGGCACACCCAAGATAGATGAGACTATAAACCAAACAAAAATCATTACATTAGCCAGGCATGGTGGTGCAACCTGTCATCCCAGGGGCTGGGGAGGCTGAGGCAGGAGGATCGTGAGTTCAAAGCCAGCCTCAGCAACGGCGAGGCCCTAAGCAGCTCAGTGAGACCCCGTCTCTAAATAAAACACAAAGTAGGGCTGGGGACGGGGCGCAGTGGTGAGTGCCCCTGTGGGAAAGGCGGGTGCAGAAGAGAACAGCAGAGCCCAGCTCCTCCCTCTGCGGCCGCTGGGTGTGCGCTCTCCCTTACTTCTGGGGGACAGCGCTGCGTTTCTATAGATCTTCTGGCCACCCTAAGTGCCACTGAGTCTAACAATGGTGTGACTGCAAGTGTGACTCATCTTTAGAGTCCTCCCTCCTTGGCAGGGGTTCTCCAACTGGACATGAGGAAGGCCGGCTGCTCTCTTCCCAGGGGAGGGGACGGCGCTCTCTTGACCGACTGAGATCTGAGAGATGGGGGCGCTGGGGCTTCTCCCTCTGCTGTGGGGTGTTGAGGGGGACCCGGCCTCCTGCCGGAGACCTTTTTGAGAGGACTTTGTGCTGGCTGTCCCACACTGGGTGCTCAGCTAGACCCGGGGGACGTGGATCTAGCCCAGCAGCCTGTCCCTTCAGTGGACGAGCGAATTCTTCGGGGGAATTCGCTTAGTGACGGGGGAGGCTGTCACTGAAGAGAAGCCTGAATGGTGGTAAACGAGGCCATTGCTGCCCTTCCAAGCCCTGTGGACCTGGCCACCATGTCCCATGATGACCTCCTAGTGATGTCCCTATCCCTGTCACCTCCTGAGGCTTTCTCTGGCACCACAGGGACAAGTCAGAGTGCTGGGGACTCAGGACCCGGGCAGCATCCCTCACCCAGCCAGGGATGGAGTGGGAGGGTGACACCCCAGCGCCCCCTCCCCAGCTGTGTCCTCTCCACCTCCCAAATTCCTGCAGGACGGAGCCCCGTGCACGGGTGGGAACTGCCCGTCCATGCACTGGGCAACGGCTCCTTCCATGCGCTCCCAGATTAGCCAAGGCCCACGGAGCACACGTCTTGGCTCGGATTCTGCCCCCAGGAAAATCCACAGCCAAGTTGCTCCTTAGGAAGTGGAGATGCTCACCCCTGCAGCCTGCTCTTGGCTGAGGCACCACTGCTGAGCTCCAGGACAACAGGAGCACATCGCGTAGTTGGATGCTCCTGTGGACGGAGGGCATTCGCATGGGTCGGGTCTCTCTATTGACATCCTGGATTAGCTCATTCTGTATGACAGTAGGGGATGATCCTGTGTGTTGGAGGATGTTTAATGATGTCCCTGGGCTCAACTCAGCAACGGTGCCCATCTGTAAGGACACCATGTCTCCAGACATTACCAAGTGTCTCCTGGGGACAAAAGTACCCCACGTGAGAACCACTGACATGACTCACCTGATGCCATTCGACATAAACAGTGATCTAAAGAGGGAAGAATAGTGGTGGTGATGGTGGTAGTGATGGTGATGGTACTCATGGTGATGGTGATGGTGGTCATGTGATGGTGATGAGGAAGATGGTCATGGTGATGATGATGCAAATGGCAATGGAGATGGTGGTGGTGACAGTGATGATGGTCATGGTGGTGGTGATAATAGTGATGGTGGTCATGGTCATGGTCATGGTTATGGTCATGGTAGTGATGGTGATGATAACCATGGTGATAGTGATGGTCATGGTGATGGTGATGATGGGTATGGTGATGGTCGTGGTGGTGATAGTGAAGACGATGGTGATGGTCATGGTGGTGATGGTGGTGAAAGCAATGATGATGATGGTAGTGATGGTGGTGATGGTGGTGATGGTGATGATGGTGGTGATGGTGATGGTGATGATGGTGGTGATGGTGATGGTGATGATGGTGATGGTGATGGTCCTGGTCATGGTGATGATGGTCATAGTCATGGTAGTGATGGTGATGATGATGGTGGTAGTGATGGTGGTGGTGGTGATGGTGGTGATGATGGTGGCGGTGATGGTGATGATGATGGTGGTGATGGTGATGATGGTGGTGATAATGATGGTGGTGGTGATGGTGGTGATGGTGGCAGTGAAGGTGGTGGTGATAATGATAGTGGAGGTGATTGTGATAAAGGTGTCCATAGGGGAACTAGAACATAATGACATAACATTCAAATGACCTGATCACACATGCCCAGGTGCTAACAGGGAACCTGGAACTTGACCCACGACCTTCTGGCTCCTTTCCTCCTCCCCATCTAGCAGTGGAAAGGCCCATCATATGAAAGGAACTTTGGGGAAACCTCATGCCGCCATCACAGTGAGGAAGCAGAGGGTCCACCCGGGCCTCCTGGTCCCCAAGCCAGGTGCCCTCCAGCCCGCTGCCCCTTCCTCTTTGGTGCAGAAGACAGAGCGGTGGTAGGGCCTCAAATGCAAGCCGTGGACGTGGATCTAGCCCAGCACCCTTGAGGGTGCGCTACTGCATTTAGGTCATTGAAGGGATGACAGAGTGGAGCCAAGGGCACGCCTGGACTGCACTGCTAGCCACCACCGGCTGCTGTGGGCTTAGAGGAGAGCCTTTCCCATCACCCGTGGCCCTGGCCGAATGCAGCATCTCCCCGTGACTGGGGTGCTCGTGGTGCCTGGAGCCACAGTTCTGCCCTCAAATAGACTTTCAAGCAGTTCTCTCCTATGAAAGTATTTCTTGAGCACCTACTGTGTGCCGGAAGGTGGTGACTCCAGCATTTCAACACAGCAGGGTTAGGGGCTGCCGTCTAGGTGAACACCGGCAGGGGCCATGCGGGGTCCAGGGGGCGGTGTTCCGAGGCCCCGTGTTTGAAGCCGACAGAGGGCTCTCACAGGAGGCCGCCCTGGTGGGGGCACAGAACAAAGGACAGAGAGCATTCCCCGGGTTGGGGGAAGTCCTCGTGAGGAATTCTGAGGTGGTAGAGGAGGGTTTGGGGTGAGTAACACACACCCCTGCTCCCCAAAGCAGACCTTCAGCAGGGTCTTGGGTTTCTGCTGTCCTCTGGCTACTTGCAGCACCAGCGCAGGTGCCTGTCACCCTCCTCCCCCTCCCAGCCTGGAGGCAAACCCCGCCTTTGGGCGTTGGATGAAGCAGGGTGGCGGGGCTCAGCGGCTGTCTGTCTGTCTCCCTGCGCCTGTTCCGGGAACCTGCAGGGAACTGCGAGGCCACGCCCACCCCCTTCTAGAGCCCTTCAGCCCCGAGGCCCCAACTGGGTTCCTTAAGCCCTTTTCTGTCTGAGCCCCTCAGGAACCCTGCGGGCTCCCGCGCAGCGCCCCGTCCCAGGCAAGCTCCACCAGACCCTCACCAGGCCGTCTCCTCCATGGCCCCTGCTTGGGCTTCTCCCGACTACAGCCTCCCAACCTCCAGCTCTCTTATACTCTCGGGTTTGGAGCAAGCCTCGCCGCCCCAGGAAGGCCTCCGTGATGCCCCCAATCCCAATTAGCCGCCCTCCTCTGCTGTCCCGTGGATCCTAACTCCTGCCTGGAATCCCTGGCTTATAAGTTGAGATATACCCAGGATGCCTCTGGGTGCAGTTCGGTGCCTAGCACGTAGTAGGTGCTCAGAAAATGTTAGGGAGGGGATAAGGAGAGGAGAATGATGTAAGAGAACAGAAAAAGCAGAGCGAAAAGAAAGGAACCCACAGATCTGTGGGCGGGGTTTGGGGAGGGAACGGCATGTCCTGGTCCCCTCTGCAGTCTGCGCCTGCGTCACCCCCGCGTCGCAGTCTGGGGCCTGACATGGAGCACATCTTAAGAAATTATGTGTTCCCTTAAAAAATCAACCGAGCGCTCATCGACTGCCCGCTCTCTGCCCTCGCAGCCTGAACCTCAGCAACAGTGACATCCTGACCATCTACGATGGCGATGAGGTCACGCCCCACATCCTGGGGCAGTACCTTGGGAACACTGGCCCCCAGAAACTCTACTCCTCCACACCGGATCTGACCATCCAGTTCCACTCGGACCCTGCCGGCCTCATTTTTGGAAAGGGTCAGGGATTTATCATGAACTACATAGGTAGGTGTCTTCGATTTTTTTTTTTTTTTAATAATGGTTTCCCTAGATATACCTGTTGGAAAGTTCTGTGCCAAGGAGATTGTTAATATATTGGTACAGTCAGTATGTATGGTTTTTAAGAATCTGGGCTAGAGTTTGAGTCTCAGTACTGTCATCAATGGCTGTGTGACCATGGGCAAGTTACTGACCCTCTCTGAGCCCCCTTTTTGTCATCTGGGAATATGGGAATAGTGGTTACCAGGTTTCGTCTGTAGTCAGCTGAGATTGTGCATCTCAACAGCCCTGCTCCCATATATGCACCTTCTCAAAACACACGCTTCAGCTTCTTGCCTGAATTTGAGGCTCAGCTCTCCCTAGGATTTTTCTCCCCTGCCACCCTGTCAGACAGGGACTGTGTCTCCCACTTCATGTACTTTGGGCCCTAGAGATGCAAGAGGCGTCTGCCTTGATCCTCAGCGGGGCTGCCTGCCCTTCCTCTCCTGCTCATCTTGAAACAAAGCCAAGAAGCACTCTGCCATACCATTCAAGTTATGTCCCATGGGACCATCCTTGTCCCTCCCCCGTCACCCGCCCTCCCTCCTTAGTGGCTCCATCCTCAGTCCCAGCTCAGCCTCTAAACCCGGGCTCCATCCTGGCCTCCATCCTCTCCTGTCTGTGCTGTCCTCCAGGTGTAAACAGCACCATGTTCCAGGGACCTGTGGTTGGCACTTCCAGCCTTGACCGTGAACTTGACCAAACAGCTCCCTGTGACCCAATCTCTCGAATGTCTCCTGGGCTCAGACCTAAGGTGGCCGGAGGGAAGGGTTTCGCTCCTTACCCACCAGCCACCACCACCAGGCGTGTTCCCATTCCGGGAGAGGGGACCTTGCTTCTTGGGCTGGCTCCTCTTCCTGTCCCCCACGTCCACCCACCGCTCAACTCCACTTCTCAATGTGGCTCAGACCCAGGCGCCACCCCACACCTCTCCACGGACCCCACCTACCGCCTGCCCTCCTCCCGGCAGTGGGGAAGCTGGGTCGCCATGAGGTCCCAGTGAGCCTGGCCCTGGGAGGGACGTGATGAGCACAGAAGATCTGGCCCAATCCTGTGGGGTCACACAGCCCCGGACCAGGGAGGACGAGGGACTCCCCCATCCAGGCACAGCCGGGGCCAGCCCTCTAAGCTCCTCCAGCAGAGACCCTGGAGCCACGGGGTTAACCAGGACCTGACCTCCACAGACATCCGGAGGGCAGTGGGTCACACCTGCAGGTTTCAGCAGGCAGGATCCAGCCAGTGACCAGAGCTAGGGCTGGTCCCTCCCAGAACCACGGTGGCATCATCATTCCCAGAGTGCATGGGGAGAGGAGGGTCCTTCCCACCCAGCCCCTGTCCACCACCACCGTCACCAAGGATGCTCTGGCTGGAGCCAGTGTCCACGTCTCGAGTTCCTTCGCCCCCTTGGCCTGGGGACTCACCCACCCTCTCTCACCTACGTGGCCTCCCTGCACCATTCCTGACCTCTGAAGTACAAGCCGCTCCCCTGACCATCTCAAAGCCTCGTGTGTGCTAAATTAAGGTCCCTGCTTCATCCTTCCCAGCTGGGAGACATTTTTCATTCTTGCCTGCTACATGTCCCCACTCAAAGACGCTAACACAAGTATCGATCCTTTGTTACGCTTCTCCAGGGCCCTGTTAGCCTTGATTGCGCTGCTAAATATTGTCAGAGTGCTACTGCAACTAGACCTTGAGTCCCCCCATCGGGCGCATCAGGGGAGGGCTCAGATGACTGTCGGGCCAGGTGCCCTCGGGCCAGCTGAGGGGGGCAGCTGGTGGCTGGGTTCAGGCTGCCTCCTTAGACCGCCCCTCCCCCGGCTGAAAGACGCGCTGGTGGCTGTGCCCACCTCCCCTCCCGTGCCGAGTCCACCCTCCGGAACCACGGTCAGCCTGATGGCACACATCCCCCTCTATCGGAGGCTGATGGAAGTCAGGGAGGCAGTCTGGCTGAACTTGAAACTTAGACTTGTGTGACATTTTACAGTTGACAAGTGGACACACACACACACACACACACACACAATTTTATTTCACAGGAAATGTGCTATCTCTGATTTCCAGAGAGTTTTGCTCACCAAAATCTCTTGAAATCTCCTGTATGCTGGTTCCTCACTGGGCACCGGGATCTGGGAATGAACAGAATTCTCTCCTGCCCTGATGGAGAGGTCATCCCATTAACCCCAATGTCAGGGTCAAGCGCAGAAGGGGCTAGCACGGATGGTGGGGATGCTTCCCAGGAGACACGCAGCCTGATGGATTTGGGTAACCCGAGAGAGGGTGGGGGGTGGAGAGAGAGAAGAGTTTCCATGGTTCTTGTTTCTGTTAAAGAAACACCATTAACCTCCCAGGAATGGTCTACAGAGCTCTGTTTCATTTTCATGCTGATCAATTGTCAGTGACTGCTTCAGTTGAAGACCCTGTAGAAAAGCACTCAGAAGAGTCCCCTCTGAAGCCAGGGGAAAGGATGCTGTGATGGACTGGTGATGCCTGTCACAGGGTGGGAGAGGGTGTCTGCTCCCTGGGTCTAGATTTAACCAACATGGACACAGCTCTCATCCAGGGGAGCCGTCTGACGGTCTCTAGGGATCTGGGGTCTCTAGATAGCACTGAAGCTCCTCATCTTACCTAAAGTCCTAACCCCAGCTCTGGAAGGTGGCCAAGACTTAATCTGCTTGGATGCTTCCAGAAAGACCCCGGGGCTGAGTGTTCTGACCTCCCAAACCTCCTTGGCACAGACGGATGCCCTTGCTGTTCTTTGCCCAGTGCCTGTGGCCAAGTAATATAAAAGCACGGAGGAAGGAGCAGTGCTCTTTAAAGAGACATTGGTCACTTGGGACCTGTTGATTCCTCAAACCACAGAGTGAGAAACCAGCTCTATGCTGTCGGCCAACTGCAATCACACGGCGGTCTGGAGCGCTGGACTGAAGATCGGCGGGTCTGGGTTTGACGCTAACAGAGGATGGATTAGTGATGTCTGCCAGGAACAAGGGGCTGGTGGGCAGTGGTGCCTATGTGGTGACTGGGCCACCTCTTTTTGGTGCTCATCTTGACCGTGAACCTGAAAGCGTGACTTGAGACCTTTGGTGCTTATTGAGGTGCCCACAGGACCTTAGTCCAACAGGTAGATGGAGTCACAAGGCTCAGCTTAGGGCGCACACAGCACACAGGTCTTGATTCTTGACCTACCGATGACAACAGTGACGCCCACAGCGGGTGATGGATGTGGCAGGAGCCACGCAGCCTCTCAAGGAAAGAGGACCGAGAGAGAGGGTTTCCAGTTTCTCATTCTTATAACCAGGGACAGATCATTCTAGAACCTCCATGGAAGGTTGGTGGGTGGAGAAACCGGCCGATCCCTGAACCCGGGTCCCTGGGCTACCATCTGGGAACCGAAGAAAGGGAAGTGTCCAAACCCAGGCCGCCCAGTTAGTAAACAGAGGGGCCGAGATTTGGGCCCCAGCTCTGCATTACGTTGGCAGCAACTGCATAAGTGACCTATGTGACAAAGGCCAGGGAGGAGGAGGGGGCCTGCAGAGGGCGTGGGCGCAGGGCTCACGCTGAGACACCAGAGAAGCCCAGATTTCCCGGCAGCAAAGCATCTGATCCAAGGAAAGCCGCCGCGTCCCTGTCTGCCCGGGTCTCCTCCTTCCGTGTCACCCAGCCTCTGCAGCTGTGTTCCAAATGCAGGGCTCCGCTGATTCTTCAAAGGCCTAAAAATAGAGGCCCCTGTCCCCCCACCAGGCTGTGCTGGAAGCCATTTCCCTGCCCCTCCCTCCAGCAGACACCCACGAGATCGAGATCTCCGCTCTCCACATGCAGCCGTGATGAAATCCCAGGAACAGCCCGCTCCTCGGGACGGCTCTCGGCAGACAGTGGGGACGCTTCACCTGCCCCAGAAGCACAGAGGAACTTCAGATTAATTACACAGCATAAGGGCTCCGTTCTCCGAGGCTGGTGGTGTGCGCAACAACGCAAAGATAGTAATAGTGGGCTCCGGACCGCTACCGTAGGAACAAGGGTTCAAGGGAGGATGAGCATGAATAAGGTCTCAGTGGAATTTCCCGGAGCATGGTCAGTGTTCCCTGGTGACATGCAGTGTGACTAGAGGAATACACTAACAACCCTTTCTGTTTGCATAGATGAGCATTTATCTTAATGTGTATCATCTTAAGGTAGCTGGGCACGGTGGTGCTCACCTGTCATCCCAGCAACTCGGGAGGCTGAGGCCAGAGGATCGAACATTCAAAGCCAGCCTCAGCAACTCAGCGAGACCCTGTCTCTAAATAAAAAAATAAAAAGGGCTGGGGATGTGGCTCAGTGGGTGAGCACCCCTGGGTTCAATTCCCAGTACCAAAAAAAAAAAAAACCCTCAGTACAGGTCTTGCTGATTCACCAAATGCACCGATTGCCAGAGAGGAAGAAGTTGAATGTATTGCTAATCGATTTCTGTGTGATAGATTCTACCCCAAATGAGCCTTCAATAGGCATTATGTCACAAAGTCTGTGGAATGAGGAGCAGCCTGAGCTGGCTGGCCCTGCCTGGGGGTCTTCATGAGGTCAGGGAGGGTCCTGGTCATTCCAGAGGGGCCGGATGACCTGCTTCGCAATGGCTCAGACACGTGACGGGCCAGTGGGTGCGAGGCTTCAGTTGCTCCCATGGGGACTGCTCCAGAGGGCTGCTTGGGCACCACCACAGGGCAGCTGCTCTCTCCAGAGCCAGGGGTCCAGAGAGAGCGAGGAGACAGCCTCTGTGTATGTGCCAGCCCCACCTGGTCACCTTTGCAATGGCCCGTTCAGTTCAGGTGGGGACCACAGAGAATGCATTCTGGGAATGAGCAGGTCCTGGAATCCACAGGAGCCCGGCCTCTGCATGGCTGCTCCCTGGTGGCTGTGGAACCAGGCACCCGGGGAGGAGCAACGGCCGGTATGCGGCAGCACTAGGCTCTGCCTGGCTCCATATCCTAAGCTGGTTTTATCAAACCAAGAGTTTCCACCAGTCAGTCCCAGGGTCTGTGGGAGGGATCGTGGTGAAATCTCCCTATGAAAAGAGTGGCCGCCTGCCTCTCTGGGGATTCAGACAGTGTTGCTTCTTTCGTGAGGGTATTTCTTCGATTTGTTCTTTCTTCCAACATTGACACGGGTATCCGGAGCCGGAAAGGCCCCGTCCCCTCTAAGGATGCTGTTTCTGTTTTGAAGAGGTATCAAGGAATGACTCCTGCTCAGACCTGCCCGAGATTCAGAACGGCTGGAAGACCACTTCCCACACGGAGCTGGTGAGGGGGGCCAGAATCACGTACCAGTGTGACCCGGGCTACGACATTGTGGGCAGCGACACCCTCACCTGTCAGTGGGACCTCAGCTGGAGCAGTGACCCCCCATTCTGTGAAAAAAGTAAGAGTCCCCTTGTTTCCTTCCCCTAAGTCGGTGGTGGTGAGTCCTGCCCTGTTTATCTGCTCAGCCGCCCCCTCCCCTCCACGAATGCTGATTTGTAGGTCCCGGTGAGCGCTCAGGCTCGGCCCTCAGAAGCCTGGAAGATGTGCAAATGAGTGGAATGGGTTAGAGGTGAGACAGTAGGGAGTGGTGGGGACTGCGGTGAGAGGGGCATGCGGCCTGTTCAGAACCAGCACCCAAACGCAGGTCTTCCAAACACCTGGGCCAGCAGAGAAAACGAGCCTGGGACGCCCTAAGACAGGAGCCCCCCTCCTAACCCCGCGTCTCATGGAGCTGACTGCCTCCCGAGCCTGGCTCCCGGGCTCCGGGGCTCCTGATGCCTTCCCCCCGCTCACCATCCCTGCCTCCGCAGGAGAGTGACCAGGCAGGTGACCACGGCTGACTCTAGGGTCTGGAAGGGGGGCTTAGGAAAAGGAAGCGCTCCTGGTCTCTGCCTTAATGTCTGGTTCGCAGAGGGGGGAGCTAGAGTGGGAGCAGCCCCTCCCCTGGCCACTGGCTTCCCACCTCCTCAGCCAAGCTGTAGTCCCCAGCCTCCTGCCGGGACTCCTGGGGACACACATAGACCAGCATGTCTTGAACACGACTTGAATCAGAGGAGCACGCTAAGAAATGGGGTTGGCAGAGGGAACAGAAGGTATCGGGAAGGGACGTGGGGTCCCCTATAAACTCCCTATCATAACCGCTGCCAGAAAGTGTCCTTACTGCAGGGGCAGAACAGGCGCTGCAGGAGGCCCACAGAACCAGCGGGTGGGTTGTCCTGGGTGTCCCGTAACTGTGTGTGTGTGTGTGTGTGCGCACGCGCGTGTGCATGTGGACAGAAGATAAAGCAGTGAGCAACGAGCTCCCCTGGACCAGCTCATGAGCGTGGTCCACGGCCCCCGCCGCCATCCGGAGCACCTTAAAGGCTTGGGAAGGTCATAAACCAGCCCTCGGTAGAAACGACTTCTTGCTCGCCTTCATCTTTGCCGAGAAAAATCTCCAATCCGAGTCGAGAAATTTTTAAATTACTTGAAATCTAAGATTTTTCATTTCTAAAATCCTGGAGTCTGTATTTGAGCGGTTCTGCTTCCGGGCCAGCCCTCGAGGTCCCACCCGAGCGGAGGACACCCACCAAGTGGCCCCAGCCCGCCTCCCTTCTAGAGAAATGAGGTCCGGGGAGCCCCCGGAAAAGTGGGCGCCCCTAGGAAGGCCTCTCTGGGGCCAGCGACCCTCCTGACATTGGCAGTGCCCAGAGCCAGACCGTGGGCACCCACTGGCAAAGCAGGCTGGCTAGGTGGGTCGGTCACAAAGAGAAGGGGACAGTCCCTTATGACCTGGCTCTCTGGCAATGGAGAAGAGGGAAGGAAGGAAGGAAAACAGAGAAAGAAAAAGGGGGGGAGAGAGAGAGAGAGAGAGAGAGAAAATCAATAGCTACAAAGACATTTTATTGTGGAGGGATTTGTACCAACTGCCCAGCAACTGTCCTGGGTTGTTGTTGTTTTTTTTTTTTCTTTTTTTTTAACTCAGAAAAATGGAGGTATTTCCACCCCATACATACTGCCTACCTCACTCCTTCTTAATTGGTTTATTGTTTTACTTTCGTCTGTATTGATTCTTTAATTAAAGAAGTACTGGATTCTTGCTTTATCTTAATCAAACACTGTGAAGAGGAGTTACCCTGCTTTGTTCCCGTCAGTGGTGACTCAGGACCTCCTGAGGTGGCTGCCCATATTTAGCACTTCCCTCCTTAAAAGATTTGCACGGCTGCCAGGCAAGGTGGGGCACACCTAGGATCCCAGTGGCTCCGGAGGCTGAGGTGGGAGGATGGCAAGTTTGAGGCCAGCCTCAGCAACTTAGTGAGGCCCTCTCTCTAAAAAGATATTTTAAAAGGGGGCTTCGGGTGGTACAAAAAAAAAAAGATTTGCTTCATCTCCTTTTTAAACAAGTAATGGGGGGATGTATGGCCTTACCCATAGACCTTTGAGGCCCGGTGCAGATCCTAAGACAGGTTCCTAAAAGAGGCCTTACACCAGGGCTCTCCTTCCTCCTGGCCCAGTCTCCAGCCTCCTTTAGCTCAAGGAGAGATGCCCCTTTCGGAAATTTTCTAGAACATTCTGTAACTCTGGGCCAAGCCGCGATCTGACGCCTCTCGGTCTGATGTGCTCTCGCGCAGTCATGTACTGCACCGACCCGGGGGAGGTGGACCACTCGACCCGCCTGATCTCGGACCCCGTGCTGCTGGTGGGCACCACCATCCAGTACACCTGCAACCCGGGCTTCGTGCTGGACGGCAGCTCGCTCCTCACCTGCTACAGCCGCGAGACCGGGACGCCCATCTGGACCTCCCGCCTGCCCCACTGCGTCTGTGAGTCCCGGCGGCTGCTGCCGCCTCCTGCGCAGCTGCAGACCGGCTGCTTCTCAAGAAGGGCTGGGGGTGGCCTTCTGCTGTAGGGAGGGTCTTTATCCTCATGGCCACCACCCCACCGTGGCCAGCAGGGACCAGGGCCCTTGGACTGTAACATTTACCGTAAAGATACAGAGTACCCACCCAGTCCCCGCTCTTCTTCCTCAAGTAATACTGCGGTCTTCATTTGAAGAATAGGATGCTGAAGTTCAGAGAGGGTAATTGCCTACCTGGGGTCGCACATCGAGTTAACAGTGGAGGTCAGATATAAACTCAGAGCTCTTTGAAGCTTTTCCTAGGGACTCTGCTGGGCTCTCAGGAGTCACGCCATTGCTTGAAGAAAGCACAGGGTCATGTAGAAGGGGCAGTGCTCCCCAGTAGTTGTGGGGTAGACATTGTCAGTGATGCTGCTATTTTCACATAGGGTGCTGCGAACAGCCCCACTATAGACACAGCCAGGTCACAGTCAAGTGACTGCACAGGGACCTCCCCTCCCCACAGCAGCCCCTGGGGACCAGCCCGTGTCACCTGGGCCTTGGGGGCACAATCAGCCTCCAAGCTGTGACAGAGAGGAAGGCAGATCACGATAGTCACTGTGCACAGAAAGCGTGGGACACGTGTCATCCATATATCGTGATTGTGCGTGAGTGTGCATGGATGTTTGGCGTGTGTGTGCATCTGTGAACATATCTGAGGCCCAGGGGGACGTGGTGGAGGTCACGACGCTCCCTCACGACTCTCCCCTCCACGTCCACTGCCGCTCACACCAGCCCTGACCCCGACCTCGTTTTGCCTTGGCTGACGGTCGAGGCACAAACTCACAAACGGCGTCCCAAAGAGACTTCAGCCTGTGGCCCTGCCCCTGAGCCTCGGCCACACCTCCTTCCGCAGTCCCAACGCTTGAAGGGAACCCACACCCTTCGGGTTCTGTTATGGATTGAGTGGTATTCCTCAAAAGGGCTGGGTTAGGGTCCTGACCCCATAACTGTGACCTTTATCAAGATCAGGGCCTGCTGGGCATGGTGGCCCACGCCTGTCATCCCAGCAGCTCGGTAGGATAAGGCAGGAGGATCACGAGTTCAAAGCCAGCCTCGGCAAAAGCAAGGTGCTAAGCAACTCAGTGAGACCCTGTCTCTAAATACAAAATAGGGCTGGGGACGGGGCTCAGTGGTCGAGGGCCCCTGAGTTCAATACTGGGCACAAAAATAAAAATAGGGCATTTCTTTGCAAGTGTGACAAAATTAAGATGTGGTCCTATTATATTGAGGGGTGGGGTAGCTAATCCAGTGACCAGTGTCTTATGAGAGAGCCAAGCACTGGGGTGGGGCCTGTGGTTTCAGCTGCTGGGGAGGCTGAGGCAGGAGGATCACTTGAGCCCAGGAGTTTGAGGTCAGCCTGGACAACCTAGTAAGACTCTGTCCCAAAAGGAGGCAGGGGAAGGGGCTGGGAAACTGTGTGCACGTGGAGACTCAGCCTGGGCCAGGCCACGCGGGGACAGAGGCAGAGACAGGAGCTCCCGGCCTTGCCGGCCTCTACCGGAAGCAGAGACCCCACGGGTCTCAGGGCACAGTCCTGTTGCCACCTTGATTTCTGCCTTCCGACCTCCAGAGCCCACGAGCAGCTGTGGTTCTGAGTTGCATCAGGAAAGGAATGACGTTCTACCTTCCCCATGGCCACCCCAAGTGTCCCCAGAAGCCACAGTAGCAGCTCAGCGTCAGAGCCCAGGGATGAGCCGCTAAACACAAAAGCGTGTTTGGAGCACAGCAAGCGGAGCTGCCGTTGATTAAAAAGGAAAAGGGATTCCGCTCATGAGACGCAGCCTCCCCAGACCCTCCCGGGCTGCCCGGTCTTCCTAGATCTCCCAGCAGCGAGCGGCCTCCCTCCCCGGGGCCCCATCTGCAGGCACTTAGAGGCTCCCCGACAAAAAAAGACGCTAATGAGCCCAAGAGTCAAGCGGGTGTCAGGAGGCTCGCTGGGCTCCCAGGGGCGGGGAGAAGGTGCCCTGTGGTGGCAGCTGGGTTGCAGGCAGCAGGTGAGGGTGACAGGGGATGACAGGGGCCTGTGACAGGTTTTTGGACACACCCCCAGCTCTGCTGGGTGACTTTGGGCAAATAACTTGACCTCTCTGGCCTCAGAGCCTTTGCCTGTGAAAAGAAGTCATACCGTCTGTGGAGCAGGGTATGCTTCCGTTACTTTAGGGTCTTGGATGACCCTGTCCATGATGGATTGACCCCCTCATCGGGAGCCTGTGGCAGCACATTCCAGCAGCGTTACCTGGTGGAACGAAACTCCTTACCCCAGCACAAGGACGCGGGAGCAGAGGCGGCTGTGGGCCCGCCCCCTTCCGAGGGCACGCCCCCATGACCTAAAGCCTCCTGCCAAGCCCCGCCTCTTCACGGTTCCATCCCCCAACAGCACCAAGCTGGGACCAAGCCCTGACTTGTGGGCTTCCAGGAACCCTTGAGATACACAGTGGGTAATGGCAGCAGCTCATTCACTCAGTAGGCGCCTCCTGTATGCAGCCACATCAAAACTGAGGCCCCCACGCTTGATGCCCTGGTGACCCGAGTCCCTGGGCCCACACACCCGGTGGCCCACTTACAAGGCAGTTGGTGGGAACAACATTCAACCTCCTGCGTCTTGGTGGTGCTCTACCTGGGATCTGAGGTGCCTAGAGGCTCCTGGGCTCCCTCAGGAACGTCCAGAGCTGCAGGACGGGGTCCTGAGAGCTGTGACCCCAGCTGTCCTTCCTGGTTGGCATGGCCTGGGGGGTGACGGGGCAGGTGGGCAAGGCTGGCGGACGTGGGTGGGGGTGGCCTGGAGGGATGCGTCCTCCCGGGCCCCTCCTCTCTGCCCAGAGTCTGTCCCTGAGTGAACTTGGGGATGACCTTGAGCTCGTGGAGCAGTTCACAAGGCTCTGACGGATGTCCCTGTGTCCCTCAAAAGTTTTGAAAGCCCTCATCGCCCTCCTGTGAGTGCCTGGTGGCACCCCAGGGTGCCCTGGGGCAAAGTTTGGGAACCACGATGCTAGCCCCTGGACACACGGCAATGGCCAAGCAGACATGATCCACACTCTCACGGAGCCCGGGGCCTACGGGGAACCAGGGAGGAGAAACAGGCCTAGGAGGGAAATAGCAATCCATCTTTGGGTCACCTCCTCCAGGAAGTCCTCCTTGATCCCAGGACTGGACCGTGTTTCCCATAGAACCTAGAGACCATCTCTCACGGCACATGCTGCGGCTTATCGCAGCCATCTGTTGAGAGCTCATAGGATCAGACACGAAAGTCACTTACTGGGATGGCATTCAAACTTCCCAGGCCCTTCACAGAGCGCCCTGAACTCGGGGTATAAGGATGTCGCAGCTGGGCCGAGCCCCCATCTGCTGTGGCCAGACTGCGGCCGCGGTCGGGGCTCATGGACAAGCCTCCCCCGTCGGCCTCCCTCGGCCAGCAAGTGGAGGCTGCTGAGTGTCGATCTTCATTTAGAAAAATACTGAGCTCTGAGAAAGCAAAGCCCAGAGAAACTCGGGAGGACCCTGGGGATTAAGCACAAGAGGGGCTCCTCATTAGAGAAAACCGTTACACACACAGGACACAGAGCACAGCGGGTCCCGGTGACACCCCAGCCCTGCTGCTTACCGGTGGTGTTATGTGGCTTCAGACAAGCCGATTTCCTCCTCCAGAGGATTAACAGCTGAGCACCGGCCTGAAAGCTCACAGTGGCGTGCCCGGCATGCAGCAGATGCTCAATGAACGCTGGGTGCCTGGCATGCAGCAGATGCTCAATGAACGCTGGGTGCCAATTCCCACAGAGTTCCAGTGATGCACGACTCACGGGGTCTTCTACAAACCAGTCGTGACAGTCACGGCTTCATCTTGAGCATTTTGTTCAAATGTCCTCTAAAGAGGAGCATCTCTTCCTTACAGAGAGGGAAACTGGAGGAAGAGCAGAAGGGGCAGGCTGTGCTTCTGTCTGTAAGACGTCAGAGGACTCCCCAGAGAGCGCAGGATGACGTCACTCCAGTTACCACAGAGGTGTCAAAACCTTAGAGGGTGGTGGTCAGAGAACCCTGGTCCTGAAATTTCTAGAGAATCCTTGGTGGTGGAAATGGGGTGCAGTCCATATCTAGGACACAGCCCCCACCACAAAGAAGGACCCGGCCCCAAATGCCAATCATGTCAAGATGGAGAAAACCCACCCGGGATGACCTCATTTCGGGGTGTGGGGGCATACTACTGCCCACCCACGATTCTGCTAAGCTCCGAGTGTTGGCGAAGCCCTGTCTATTGAGCAGATGAGAAAAATGGAGACCAGAGACATAAAGCGACTCATCCAAGGTCACACAGCAGACCCAGGTCTCCAGTTGTAAATTCAGGCCACTTTCTGGATCCCTCTCCTGCCACCTCCGGGGCTCTGAAGGTACACACTCAGAGAGAGCTGCTTCTATCGGGGAGTGAGTCCATCTGAAATCCTTCTCACACTCTCACTTACGCTGGGATCCAAGCTGAGTTGGACCGGCTTGAGAGGCCCAGAATCCTAGACGCACAGCTCAGTCACCACCTTCTTGGAGACTTTTCACACATGAGTCCCCAAAACCTCAGTGGCCTCGTCTGTCAAATGGGTACATGGTGCAGGAACAACAGATTCCAGGTGCCTGTGAACCTGGCTCGGCCAGTCACTGGTGTGGGCCTCGAGCAGATGACCGGCGGTTCTGAGCTTCGTGTCCTCCCATCTCAGACGAGGTAATGGCCTTGTCTTGGGGTCCCTGTGATCATGAATTGAGGGCCTCCATGGGAAATTCCCAATGGTGTCTGGTCCCTAGGACGCTCTCGGTGAGCGTGGCTACTCTGGCCAGTTCTGTCCCTCCCTCTGAGGAGGCGAGGAGGATCAGAGGTGATCTCTGCAAGTCATCCCATACAGGATGGATGTTCCGATGTTTCAGAAATGAATTCATTAAATG